TCGGTGCCCCCGAGAGGCCCCTCGCCCACCGCTGACTCCTCAGGGCCGCCCCTCTCCTTTCCGCACAGCACCTGCCCTGTGGCACCTCCGGGGGCTCCGCCGTTTGCCCCTGTGTGCCCCACACGGAGCGACCTCTCGTGACCACCGGCCAGCGTGGGTTATCCTGGCGAGCGGTGCTTCCTCTGCAGCTGCCAGAGGCAGGGAGCTGCACTGGTGCCCCCAAGGGCGTGGTGACCCTGACAGAAGGGGACAGTGGTGACCCTGAGAGAAGAGGGGAGTGGGATGGGCAGGAGAAGTTTGCCTTTGGGGCCAGCAGCACTGGGCTGCACTTATGCTTTAAATACAGTGTCCTTTGTGTGAGAAATCCCAAAGGACAGCCAGATTTGTAGGTGTGTGTGTGTGTGTGTGTGTGTGTGTGTGTGTGCACGTGTGCAAATGCACTTCCGAGTCATGTAACTGCAGCTGAGTTAGCGAGGAGGCATCACTCACCCTCAGATGTCCCATCCTCTCGTACTGGGTGCCAGTTTGGGAATTCGCAGATAATCACTAGATCTCAGAAAGCACTTCCCGGGTACCTAAGGGTCATAATAGATAAACAGTTTGAAGGTGAACGGGGCTTCCTCCCAGGGCTGGAATTAGCACACGAAAGAGGGCCATGGGTGAGCCTGGGTGGCGCAGTCGGTTAAGCATCAGATTCTTGATTCCTGCCCAGGTCACGATCGTAGGGTTGTGGGATTGAGCTCCGTGCTCAGCAGGGAGCCTGCTTGGGATTCTCTCTTGCTCGCTCTCTCCCCGCAAAAAAGAAAGAAACAAGTCCGTGGAGATAAACTGCAGTTCGGTGAGACCACACGTTGTGTTCATCAACAAAAGATACCGTGGAGAACTCTTCTTTTCACACAAATGATGTTGTAAGCACCTAATATGTTTTTAATTGCTTAAAGGCGCAGGGAGTTGAGTTCCTAATTCTAGCAATTAAGTCTGTTGTGTTCTTAAGCAGGTCCGAGAATAAGCATACTTTCTGGGCAGGTGTTCTCCTACCCGCCCGTTGGTCCTGGCACATGGGAAGGGCAGCACGTGGGCAGAGCGGGGTCGGCCGGCTCACGGAATGTCGGTCCTTCGGGCACCGCCGTCCTCCGGGCCTGTGGGCCGCTGCAGCCGCCACCGGGCGGACACCCGCTGGGGAGCCAGCTCTGCTTCTGCGTCATCGCCGCCCTGCCGTCACACGGGAGGGCGCTCGCTGCCACCACGGTGGTGCCCACAGGGTCCGCAACACAGATAGGACAGCGGTTGCCGCTTCCGTTTAAAAGGCTCCGAAACGGAGGCCTTGAGAAGGCGACCTCAGTACGTGGAGAGCCCAGCGTGCGGGCACCCTGCGGCCCCGTGCCCTGTGCCCCCCAGGCAGGTGGCCGTGGCTGGGCCATGTGGTCTCCTGCCCGCCCTAAAGCTGCCCGGCCCCCTTCCTGTTGTCATGGCTGTGTCAGTTCTTCGTCCGTTCTCCTCCCAGGGCCAAGAGCACCGGCCTGATGCCCTGTGCCCGGCAGCCTGGTGACACGGGACCTTCCAGGGCAGAAGTCACAGGACCGTCGCTGACGGCCAGGGCTCGCCTCCAGCTGGCACACGCTCACCACTGCCCCTCTCTTGCAGCCTCCGTTCGGCTGTGGCGGTCCCGCCTGGGCCGGGTGACGTGCTCCATGGCAAACTGCCTGCTCCTGATGAAGGTACGTGGGCACGGAAGAGGGCGTCCGCGGTGAGGAGACGCCCACGGGCAGCCGCGCGGTTCCCGGACCCGCCCTGGACCCATTTAACGCGTACGGAAGGAAATTTCAGCACAGCGTAGAGTTTACACTGCCACGCTGAAGTGTTCAAACCTGCGTCTAGACGATTTAACTAAAATCATCATTCGTCCCCCCTCCTTCTCGTTCCCTCTCCCTTTCTCGTCTCTCTCCCTCTCCTCTCCCCCC